AAGTTCTTCGCAACCCACATATGCAGATATGCATCGACTAACATGTCTCCGATCACACTCAGAACGGCTCCCACAAAATGGTGGTGGCCTCCCTAAATGCCTTTTCATGTTCAGGAACAATCATTCCAGTGGGGAAGCCATGTGGTTGCACCGCACTTAGCTTTCAGTGCATCCCATAAGTTCTTCGCAACCCACGTATGCAGATATGCATCGACTAACATGTCTTCGATCACACTCAGAACGGCTCCCACAAAATGGTGGTGGCCTCCCTAAATGCCTTTTCATGTTCAGGAACAATCATTCCAGTGGGGAAGCCACCAGCAACCCAAAATACGTTCATTATTGTGAGTCACAAGGTGCTCTTGGTCTATCAACGCTTAAAATGCGTATCTGTAAACGGGTCCGGTTTCAATGCCTGTACAAATAAGGTTTTTGGATTGCGGGATATATTAGCATTTTTTGATTAATTTAACAGTGTGAAGCTCATACAAATATTTAAACATGTGAGCATGTAATGAACATAGAACCGAAACATCTATGAACAAAGTAAATACGACTAGCACATGAACGAGTAAATAGGGATGACCAGATCATATACTCCAGTAGGCCAGGCTAAGGTCGCGGATGCGGAAGCGGCCGTAGCTTCCTGCGTAGCCTTCTTCTTGGTGGCGGCGGCATTAGCCATGGCGTCGGTGTCGGGGAAGTAGTTGAAGCAAAGGACAGGGATGAATAGGGAGCAATCGCGCCGAGGCGCTCCCCAAAAACCTTATCGCCCTTCTTCTAGTGTAGGATCGCAAAGTAGGGGGTTCTGGAGGCCTACTCTTCCGAACGGCCATGAACATGGTGATGGGATGGGATCGCCTTAAGCATCATGAGTGGAACATTAGAATGACAAGGAACTGAGTGTGTGGGGTGGAGTGTCAACACGTCCAATATATAGGTCATCCTGTACGGGGTCATGGGCTTAGGCTTAGGCCCATGCCCAAGTCGGCAAACAACTCACAGTCCAATGTCTCGGATAGTGTCACTTCCATTAGCGAGGCGGCGGCGGACGAGCACGTGTATGCCACTCATCTTCTCAAGCTCCAATAACATGTAAAATAGAATCTCATATAAAAAGGTCTCAACTCTCTTCCACTAGCGGTATGGTATTAAAGTTTCGACCATTTCATGACACCCTACATAGACATAGGCCTTCGAGATTAACAAGGAATTATTGTTCATATGAGCCCAAGGCCCATCTATAATTTAACAAATATCTTCTTCGAGGTAAACTTGTCTAGAGCCTTCCGCACATACCTATGCAGTGTGTGCATATGCGCGATCGTGTCTGTTGGCTAAAGGCTAAACCTAGGCAAACATTAGGTCGGGACGAGCTTGTAAAAGCCCGACCATCTTTTCTCAAGCCTGAGCCTAACCTGAAGCCCGCAATACACTCTTTTATTGAGCCTGAGCCTGGCCAAAATTTTGTTTTTCAATGTTCACATGTGTAAGCCCGACCTGAAATACTGAAAAAGGGAAGCTCGAGCCCAGACTGAACTACCATCCGCGCTGCAAAACGAGGCCCAAGCCTAGCCCGAACGACAAGTATGGCCCAACTTCACATGGGTTTTTCGAGTCGGACTGCCCATGCTCAGGTGTACTAAAGGCTATCACACGATTAACGAGTTGAAAAAAATGATTTCATATCTGAATGGATCGGCGTTTGAATTTTGCTGTTTCCCGCGCACGCATGTAATGTTGCAAGTTGAAAACACACAATCTGATCGACTGTGTGGGTTGCGTTGGCAGCTTGGCATGGGAAGCGCTCTGGAGACGCTGTGCGGGCAGGCGGTGGGCGCAGGGCAGGTGGACATGCTGGGCATCTACATCCAGCGCTCCTGGATCATCTGTGGCGCCACCGCGCTGGCCCTCGTGCCGACCTACGTTTTCACGACGCCCATCCTACAGGCCCTCCACCAGCCCGCCACCATCTCCGTCGTCGCCGGTCGGTACACGCGATGGGTCATCCCGCAGCTATTTGCCTACGCCGCCAACTTCCCACTGCAGAAGTTCTTACAGGCGCAGAGCAAGGTCTGGGCCATGACCTTCATCTCCGGCGTGGGGCTCGCCCTCCACGCCGCGCTCAACTACATCTTCGTCACGCGCCTCGATCATGGCCTCTTCGGCGCCGCCATGATCGGGAACGTCACATGGTGGATCATCATCCTCGCGCAGCTCGCCTACCTCGTCTCGGGCTGCTTCCCGGAGGCGTGGAAGGGGTTCTCAATGCTCGCTTTCAGCAACATCGCCGCCTTCGTCAAGCTGTCCCTCGCCTCCGCCGCCATGCTCTGGTTGGCAGATACACGAACTTAATTGAGATCAGCATACAGGTTGCTTAAAATGCACTATCATTTTGAATAGTACTTATAAATTTATACATGTGTGTGTTATCTAGCTTGGAGGTCTGGTACTACACTGCAGTGCTCATCCTTGTGGGTCTCCTGAAAAATGCTCAACTCGAGGTTGACATCATGTCAGTCTGGTAAGAAAATTTCCTCTGGCAAACTTGTAACTGAACTTTGTGTACATGTAAAGAATCGATTCAATGATTAGACTACATCTGAAATTGACAGCATCAACTACCAGCTCTGGGCCGTGATGGTTGCACTAGGCCTCAATGGAGCAGTGAGGTATAATGCGTGCAACAACACAAATATAGCAGCACCAACATAAGACTGCAATTGTACAAAAGTAGATGAAATCCATTAGTGTTTGTGCTAATGCAAAAAATGTCTGACATGCAGCGTTAGGGTGTCGAACGAGCTGGGCGCTAACAAGCCGAAGGCAGCGAGGTTCTCAGTGATCATGGCGGTGTCAACGTCCGCTGCCATCGGTGCAGTCTTCCTGGCCGTGTTCCTTGCCTGGAGGACCGAGCTGCCACGGGTTTTCAGCGACAACGACGAGGTGGTGAGTAAGGCTGCGAAGCTCGGCTACCTTCTTGCAGCAACCATCTTCCTCAACAGCATCCAGCCTGTGCTCACAGGCACGTACCACCGAGTTACCAAATCAAGCCATTATTCCCAATGGGAACTGGAAGATCTGAACAGCAAACTTTTCGGTGTCCTTGTGCAGGTGTGGCGATAGGAGCAGGGTGGCAGACGCTTGTTGCCTTCATAAACATTGGATGCTACTACTTGGTTGGCATCCCACTGGGATTCCTCTTTGGCTTCAAGCTTAAACTTGGTGCACTGGTAAGGACAAAATCAAATCAACTTCCAAAATGAGACGGGCAATCGGACTCTAACCTCTGCTCTGAACATACAACAATGTGTTTCTGGCTTTCTGCAGGGAATTTGGGCGGGCATGTCCATTGGCACGCTGCTGCAGACTGTTGTACTTCTCATAATTTGCTTCAGAACCAAGTGGAAGAAACAGGTGCAGTGCTATGCTAATATCACTCAATCCAAGATTTGTTTTCTATAGATATGACTCAATCGAATTTATTTCTTGACTTGATTGAAGTTGAGCAGATCTTTAATCTGAACTTCTAACATTGCAGGCTATGTTGGCCGAAGGGAGGATAAGGGAGTGGGGAGGAAGCAGCGAAACATTGCCGGCGGCGACAGACGGTAGCATAGATAGATGATCAGATGGTTCCTGCACGCAGATTGGACAATGCTATTTATGTACATGGAAAACACATATAGGCAGATTATATAACTAATTAACCTGGACAGATTGAGATTGATCCAATGTACCTCGACTTCGTCATTGGGGAAATCGGTCTTTTAGGATTTGTTTGGATCGAAGAAATGAAAATCAACTACTAATTCCTGTTTAACGAGAATTAGAATTGGGAATCAATTTCAATTCAGGTATATGGATGGCGACAGAGTTGCAAAACCAAATTAGTAGGGAAGTCAAAGCTAAGTTTTGTTTGGTTCAGCACTTTGAAGAATCGAGCGCGCAAACACAAACTAATGTATTTCTGTATGTAGTGTTACATATAACATATTACAAGTAAATATAAATAAGATACAAGCACTAGACATGTACTCCCTCCGTTCCATGAACTAAAACCACGACAAGTAATTTGAAACGGAAGGAGTACCAAATAATGTTAATATGAGGCACATATATTGTGCTTCTTATATTTATACTACAAAATAGTATTGATGTTACAATACTGCATTACATATTTCTTCGAACTAATTTGTACAATGGATTGTAGTAGTTTTTTCTATTATATTTTATTCTATGTCCACCAGGGCATATATGTACCTTTTTGTTCTTGTTAACCCATCATATACTTTATAAATATATAATACAGTATATAATCTATTCTAAATATATTTAAATTACTATTGAATGAGCAGCACTGTTCATGGTCCGAAAACAGACACAATTCCAATGACACATTCTGCGGCAGATCTTGGCACAGGATCATATTGTGGAGTTGTCACAGCAGATCTTGGAACAGGGTCATATTGTGGAGCAGGGGCATCTGCTTGCTTTGTATGGCCAGCCATTTCCCTCTTTATGCAAAAAAATAATAATGCCAGGTGTATCTTTTAGTAAATTTTAAAATCAGATTTCCTCATTCAATACTCAAACATACATATTTTACAATTGGCCCTTGACATGCATTTAGTTTAGCTCTGTCACTAATGTCGAAAATACAGGCAAGACATAAAAATGGAACTGCATACGCACATACAGAAAGGCATTGCTTTCAGACATCAAAATACATTCAACTTCCTTTTTGTATATCGAATATTTACATTGTGCACACAATCATAAAATGAGACTGCCAAAGATTTCTCATGCTTATCACCTTGGGAAATTCATATCTAAAGCACAACAGGAAATATCTCTAATTTATGGTATATGATGACTAAATCCTCATTTTTCTGTCTTCTATCTGTCATCTTATGCTGGTATGCCTAACTTTGAACCAAAAAGCCCTCGTAGGATAGGATATGCCCCATGCTCACAAACTGAAGATGCAAAACCCTACCTCAACTTGGAAAAGAACCTGACCGCTTGATATGATCAAGGGTACCTCTCAAGCCATATCGTTCAACTGCTCGAATGCCAGCTCGAAACCCATCTCCATATATTGCAGAGGGGTCTGTTTCGATCTGGTGCTTGAAGAATTCTCCAAGTTTTTTCTCAAAGTCAGTCTTTTCACCCTTTTTCACCAAGGAAGATGGTGAAGAAGGTGTCGCTGTTGCTTCTGCTGCTACTGCTGCTTCTGCTGCTACAGCTGCTGCTTCAGATGTGGTTGCAATGCTACTACTTGAACCTGATACGATTTCAGACTCAAGCCAGAGATGAGCTAGGACCTGACAGATGCCTTCTTCAACCTCTGGACTACGGATTCGGTATCCTATAAATAAAGAGAAGATATCAATACGTAGATGCAGCAGTGTTTGATGGCACAAAAATACAAGTATGCATAAGATTCTGCAAAACAAAAATAGACACGTACAATAGTACCTTTAAGCCGAAGGTATGCATGCATCATCTCATGAGCTAGAATATAGCCTGTGAGCAGTCTGCAAGCAATTAATCAGTGGAAATCAAACATACGTACATTCGCAACAAAGGACTTCTTAACAGGTTCGTACACTGGTTGCAGAATCAACATCAATCAAACATTAGCATCAACTGTGCTCAGTTTGGGAAACGTATGAAAATAACTAAATTTACCTTGGCAAAGCATATAGGACAAGAATTGCAGTCACTTCACACCGCCGAACTAGTTTCTGTGGTGCTGTAGAAATGTCTATCATTTTGTTTCCTGGTCCAATTATTGGTCGTCTCGATATCTGTGTAATGTATATGTTAATTTACCATGAATTCTCATAAGTATGAAGGTGACATACAAGAAAATGTTGTAAGAACTTACCATTCTGACAATTTGCTCTTCCGATAGGCAGAGACCCCTGGTTTCAGGAAGGTGATGCCCCTAATCAAGCAGGTTAAAAAATTAGTTAATCAACATACATTACAAAATGGTGAATATCATATCACTTACCATTTTCTCTACTTCCCTGGCTTCATTTAAACCTTGACGTTCAACCAAAAGCAAGGGGATCTGTTGCTCTACTTTCATGTTCAAACCCTCATAGAATTCCTGGATATCAATGTATACTGGTTGGCACTCGTCTGTGTCCATTATTGAAGTATATAGACACTCCAAGCAGAGCTTCCGGCCATCATCTAATGTTATGTACTTGATATCCTTTGGCTGGGGTTGATGATAAAAAATGGAAGACGCAAAATTCATTAGACCAATCAAATGCGAATATTTGCACTATGAATTGAAGCAGCTGTAAGCCTGTAACTGAAGTAAACTGCCAGTTAATTTCTGATTGGTATAGCCATAACCCCAACCTCCATTCGTTCACAACTGCAACACCTAGGAGTACCGTCATTGTCATGCGAAGGACAATACTTCTGCATCCAGAAAGGATGGGCCCGGTATTCAATTAAACCATTTTTATTTGTTCGAATCTGGTCACAAAAATACAATCAGCACATTTCAACAGATAAATTAAAATTAGGCACCACCAAATACTCAAGCTCACTCATAAACTTGAAACACCGGTTGCTTACAAAGTTCTTGCAAACATCACATTTTGGATGAAAGTTCTCCTTGTAGCAGGAACTGTGGTATGAATGATCTTCATGTACTGCAAACTTGCCAACAGAAAGGCTGACATTTATAATTTTATCACAAGTTGAGGTATGTTAAATCAAATGTGTTAGTTTTTGTACCTCAGAGTCTGATATTGGCTCACTGCAAGCTAAACACCTGAAGCACTGAGGGTGCCAAACAGAATCCATACAACTGAGAAACTGTCCATGTCCAAGTGGAGTTTTACATCCAGCACAAACCCTACATGAGTCCATATGATGCACCATATCTGTTAAAAATGCAAAACAAAGAAGCTCCTGGCGAAAACAAATGGAGACAGAACCCAATGATTCTACCATCTTATAATATAGAGTTCTGAGAACCCAAGGTTTCCGCTATTTTACTCTACAGTAAGGGTATTAGAACTCGAGGAGACAACTGATTTCAGATGGCAGGTATAAGAGCGTGACTTAACAATGGCAGCATGCAAAGAGAGAATTGTTTCATAACTTAAAGGTAAGCGGAAGATATATGTCACTATGCAGTTAAATTTCGAAAAGACTGTGTGACTACCAAAAGTATTTAAATTTGTCACCTGTAACAATATTGCTACCTTTTTGCAAAAAATATTTCATTCACTATAAATTTTTATATTTTTTACTAACATACTCGGATATGGATGGTCAAAGGTCTCTATCGAGACCACATTTATGCCGGAAACAAGTAAAATGGAATGAAGGTAACTAATACATAATACTTGCGGGACAACGCATATGTTTACATTGTTTACCCATAATCAACCCAACCAACAAGTCAGTGCATACGCTCCCAACACTAATCAAACGTTCCTAATCGGGGAAAGTTCCGCCGTATAGCAGTCAACTGGATTACCTGCATCCACCGGTAAGCCTCAACACTACCCAAGTCTTTCCGAGCTTTACACTTTTACAACCCATACGCTTGGAATAAAATGTGAAACTATACTAGTGATCATTGTTACATGAACGATTTTTCAGTGGAGTACAAACTCAATTTGAAACATAAATATTGATCCCCGGTCCCAATCACACCCTGATCTTGGACTGAGCAGTATGATTTAGATCAGCAGTTTAGATAAGGTTTCTGCTGTTTCTATATTGTATAAAGCAGGTTGCAGAGTATGAACCACACATTCACAAGCCTGATGAACAGAATGCCCTAGTATTCGTTGTCATCCCACAGGCATGTACCTTCTCATATCATGCTATGAAGCTGGTCATGAATCAATGGCCTGATGCTATTTTATTACATGTCCTGAATTTTGCTTCATCCCCCAAGTTGATACATGAGGTTAAACATCCAAAATCGTATTCGTTCTCACCTTTTGTGAGATCAACAAGTTACAGCAATGGATGTAAGTGAAGCACACCTCAACCAAATATATATGCATGTGTTTTTTGCTATAAAATCAATTAGTTAGAAAAACCAACACAGTAGATTGTTATTCACTGTTTCACACTAATGCAACATGCAATGCAAGCGCCACTCAGTGGTGTCAAGTGTCAACGAAAGAAAAACAAACTTTTCCAAGTCCACAAACTAAATTATCGTGAAACTAGAGATGAATCATAATGTACTATTATAACAAATACCTCGATCTACTTGATGGCAAGATATCTGGCAGTAGGCTAGTTGCTGGAGTACTATCTGAGTGAACCCCCCCCCGCCGGAATTTTCTGACGAAGAGGATGTTTATCTTTCAGACTTTCTTGCAGAGCCCGTGCAAGCTCTTCATCTTCTTCTAAATGATCATCAGTATCTGGTTCATAAGTAAAAGCAAATGACAAAAACATTAAAAATATTCTTTCTATCAACTTTACATATTTGGACATGCTCATTAACCTAGAACTGCTATCCCAAACTAAGAAACTTTAATGACACATGCAACCAGGTAAAAGAATCTCTAAACTAGAGATTATCAAAACTGGTTTAGTTGGGATAATACAAACCAATGGCCTTTCCCTTCCTTTGTCCTTCCTCTGATAAGGATAATGCAATAGCACGATCTATGTCTTCATTGTCACTGGCATGTGTATCCTACAGTATAATTGGGAACCAAATTAGCAACAGTGAAGTAAATAAAGCTGTTCATTTTATCTTGGAATCATGTACCACGTTGTGTGCCCTGATTTATATAAAAATGCAGTGGCTCCTGAAAAATCAAGAACAAATTGTTCGATCCCTCACTATCTATGCTTCTGTAGCATTCAATTTAAACTTCCCACGACTGATTTATCCCATGTGATTTGTCACAGAGAAGAGCAACTTCAAATTGAGAGAGTAATAAACAGACAAGGAAGCGCATGATAAAATGGTAATATATGATAGTCAGAATTAAGGCATTTTTAGGAATGAACATTTTACAGCTAGTTATTTCCAGCAAAGAAGAAAAAGGCAAAATTGGGCAGTACATGTGACGTAGCGTGCTGGGTTGAATAGCCTTCACTAAAGTTCCCGTCATACTGTCCTCTTATAACTTTATTTACCGAACTTTTAACAACTTTACTCAGCCAACCCATGTATTTCTTTATTGGAGGATGAAGATCCATTTTGTCCACCCGATGATGAAAATCTATTTTGTTCAGTCGATGATGACGATCCCTTGGAGGATGACGACTCATTTTGTGCATCCGAAGGTGGACGACCCTTGTGCCTGCAGCAAAAAGTGAATTCATGCAGAAATAAGCTAAGAGAGACCTGCAGCTGAGTTTCTTGTTTGCATTAAAAGCTAGCATTGGGAGGAAGTTGGATTTTAAGGCTCTAGGCCTGCATCTCAATTAGTATATCATTTCGTTCATTATCCGTATAGATTTCAATAGTGGGCACTGATATACTCTAGGAAACAAACAGTGCATATGTTACTGAATATCTGTGACTACTGCTGGGAATCTTGTTTCATACTTCCCGTGCCTAGAGCAATCAGTCTCCCTCTGAAAAATGTGATTTTCAATTATCAAATTCGGAGAACACATAAGCAAAAGGCTGTGCCATGTTCCTAGACAATCGCCAGTTCGCCACTCACAGAATTTATTGAGAACTTAGAGCAAGCAATTAGGCGAGATCTGCTTTGAAATGGAACATCGCAGGTACACAAAAAACGGGATAATGGTTCATTATCCATCTGAGGGTGGGCTCGACAAGATATTTTGGTGGAAATGTCAACGGTAGGCTCCCAGAGGGATCAGATCATGGAAAAGAAGCCCCGGAACAGCATTGGAACCTCAGAAAGGGAAAGCCATGACCTCTTACCTCAGGGAAGAAGAGGTACACGCCCGCGACCTTGGATTCAGCAGAGCACGGACGGGGCTGGAACTGCGCGTGTGTGGGATGCTATATGAACCGCAAGAACTTCCAGCCACGCCGCGTGTCCGGTCTCCGCGGCTATTCGTACTGCTTGTCGGCCGGAGAAGGCCGGAGAGGCGCAGGGGAGTGCTCCGGCGAGGAAGAGGAGGGAGGCGAAACGGATGGGAGAAGGAGGCGAGGAGAGCGTGACATGGACGGGCGAGTCAAGAAAATAAAATGCGAATCTGGGGGTGGAGGTAGAGGCGAGCGACGGCTCTCCCCTCTAACTAACTCCCATCCGCCCACCGCTCCGCGTCACGGTCGCGGCGACGTCAACCCCCCGACGGTACCGGGAGGGGAGGAGGGAGGAGGCCCACACGCGGGGTGGTGGCGCAGCGGCGTCCCTCTCGGGGCATTACGTCGAACGTGCTGTGGGCGTGCTAGTGGAGGGAAATCGCGTGGAAACGGCGGTCCGGTCAATTGGTTGGATTTGGATGAACTCTAGATGAAAGAGTGTGACATACTGACACATGTCTTTGGTGTCCATAACTCTAGATGGTCTCAAGACTAAAAGAGTAAACTGCATCTGGAGTCACTGAACTTTGTCATGCATTTGCAATTTAGGACGCATTCGGCAGTCCACCTACTCCTTTAAATTCTAGAATCTGCGAAGCAGCTGTTTGCTGGCTCCAAGAATTTTAATTATCGCTCCGGGAGCGGAGCCATGGAGCCGAGGGAAACAAAACATGGCCTTAGTCACAAACTTTAAAATTATGATGCACCGATCACAAATTAAAAACTAGGATGCGCCAATCAATGAAGGCATCAGAAGCAATTATAGAAACATAAAAGTTGGAGTATCGCCACTTGCCACTAAGGCCCTGTTTGTTCCAGATGTGATTGAATTGATATCACCTATGGATTCTCTTCGGTGGCAAAGTTGTTTCTTTTGTTTCAACTTTTATTGGATTCAAATCATCTGTGGATTTGGCAAAGCTGGATCAGCTTCTTCACGAAGTACACTCTGAGATTCTTCAGCAAATTGCACTGAAAATGAACTGAATACAGATTCAGGTTCACTGGCAAAACTTGATTTAGAGTAGTTGTTTGTCTCCGGTTCTAGACTAAGTTTCACTGGCAACTTTGGCTTCGCTAACAAAGTTGTTTCAAACACCCCCTTTGTTTCTAAATATAGTTTGCCAGAGATTTCAATGCGGACTACATACGATTTGATCCATGGGCACTCTATTCTAATTTGATCCATGGGTTGGGGGCCCGCTATGTTCGTGATTCCCAAGCTTGTATGCTATTTGCGCTGACCCGATGGTGTTGTCTCGATGGCCGACTGAGTGGACATTGGAACATCTTGTTTCGACGAAATTTGGTCAGACGGGGACTGTAGAGTGGGCTATTGCGGGTTGTCCTCCCGCCGGTGCTCACGGATTATCCGGACACCGTTTCTTGGAGTCTCTCACCTTCGGGTGTCTTCTTCGTAGGCTCGGCAGACCATGCGTTGTGGTATTGGCCAACCACTCCTTGGACTACTCCTCTTTGGAAAGCCCCGTCGCCCCTGAAGATCAAGATTTTTGCGCGACAATTGTTGCAGGACCGACTTCCCTCTGGCAGAGGTGCTTAAGAGACACGGTTGGTAATGGCATGTGTCCTCTCTGTGAGGCCCCACGTCCTTTTCTCGTGCATCGCAGTGCGATCCCTCTGGAGTTTTGTCTATGAGGCCCTAGGGGTTGACTGGGAGTCCCTATACCTAGCGGGATTCCTTGAAACCATATCCAACCAGACCGGGCAGTAGCGGCGCCTATTCTGGCTTGTGTTTACGGCATTGGCTTGGACACTATGAACAACACGTAATAAAATGGTTATTGAGAGGGTC